TCTCAATAAATGTTGTTAAGGAGAGGACTTGGTCGCCACAGCTTCTTCCCGGCATGAAACCAGCTTGTTCTTGAGGAATATTTGACTTTGTAAAGTAAAATAGTCTCGTTTGGATTATCCTCTCGAAAATCTTGTAGCAGATGCTTAAAAGAGCGATTGGTCTGTAGCTCTCAGGTAATGCGGGTCTTTCCCAGGTTTAGATATTGCGATGATCTTACTTTTTTTGAAGGATTTTGGAAACTTCTACTTAGTTAGGATTTGATTGAAAAATTCAAGAAGCCACTTTCTGGCATTCGGACCAATAAATTCAGGATAAATGTTGTCAACTCCTGCGGCTTTACGACATTTCATTCATTTAAGAGCTTCCTCAAGTTCTTCTGATGAGCTTCATTATCGGTAGGCTTTGTTGCTGATCAAGTTTGGCTTCTTTTAACTGAGATCGGACTTCTCTTTTATGATCTTTTTCTATTACTGGTTTTGAAAGGTTGGCTATGCGTTTGCCTATGTCTTCCGGTTTTGGGACTGTAGAGTTTGCTGTAGGGGTGTTTGGGCCAGAGTCTAGCTTCCTTAGAAGGTTCCATGCTGTGCGGCTGCTGTGTGTGAAATTGAGATTTTCTAAAGTTTCTCTTCACCTTGTAGTTCTTGCGGAGTTAAGGGTTTCTAAGAGTTGTTCACCAACTTCAGGATCTCCAGATTTCTCATACTGATCAAGCAGTTCTTTACATTCGTCGTTCCAACATGAGATGTAGGATTTGGTAACTCAACGTGGAATGTGCTTTTTTGCACATCTAATCACTAGTGATGCGAATCTTTCATAATTTTGAACCTCGGGTTTGATATGTCTGATATCACTTTCAAGTTGAAATTTAAACTCGTCCCACCTTGCCTTCCGGAAATTCCATCTTGACAAGGGGAGTGAATTTATAATAGGGATGGTGGTGCCCACGGTTGTAATTATTGGTCTATGTTGGGATTTGGAAAAGTTATCGAGAACCTCACTTGTGGCGTCCTTAAAGTCATTTTTTGAGCCCGTTCCGTTGCAAGATATAAACGTGAGATCGGGATTGTAGCTCCTTTGCCATCTTGCAGAATGGAAGGTGGGTTTCTGTTTTGCATCATATAAAAGTCTCAGATGGTGAAACTCGGCCCATTCGGCGATTTGTTCTCCTTGTTGGTTTCCTTGGTTATATCTCCATGTAGTATGGTGGCTGTTAAAGTCTCTAGTGTATATTGTCGGGTGAGAACATGTGGAAAGTACGTTTGGTGGTCATCCAGCGTTTGGTGGTTTGTCTAGCATGGGGGTAGTCTGGGTTGTTTGGATTAGTTGATAGCTTGCTTGCGTATTGTAAACTAGGACGTAATCTTTTAATAGAAAGTGGAGATTCATTTGCTTCGACATAAAGAATTTCAACTGGACTGATTCTGTAGGTTCCTAAAGCTAGTCTTAGTGCGGTATTTTGTACAATATTTAATTTTTTTAATGTTGAGTCCTTAGCTGAATTATATACTATTGATCCATAATCTAACTTACTGCGGATTAAGGATTTGTAAATATTTAGTAGCTGTGTTGTGTCTGCGCCCCAGTTATGATTTGCTAGTACTTTACGAATATTTACGTTCTGTAAACATGATTTTTTAAGTAATTGGATGTGTTTATTCCAAGTAAGTTTTGAATCAAAAATCATATCTAGAAATCTAAGTTCCTCAAAGTTTTCTAAAACTTTATCATATAGTGTTAATTTTGGTGAAGATTTGCATCAATTTGATGATTTCGAGAAAAGCACATTACTTTAGTTTTAACGGTAGAAAATTACAGTCCTGTTGTTTTAGACCATTCTTGTAGGAAATTAATAGAAAATTGAATAATTTTTGAATTATTAAGATTCTTATGAGAAATATAGATTACGAGGTCATCTGCATATAAGATTGCTTTAACAGGGTTTCGGATAGTGTTCTCGATATCGTTAATTGCAACTATGAAAAGTGTTGTGCTTAGTGTAGATCCTTGGGGTATGCCATTTTCTTGTGTAGGTATAGTATTCGGAAAGTTCCTGATTTAATTTAACTCGAAAATTTCTGTCATGTAGAAAATTTTTGACGAATGTTAGAAAATTTCCATCTATGCCCCAATGTTGTAATTTAAGAATAATGTCATATTTCCATATAGTATCATAAGCTAAAATTATATCAAAGAAGACAGCTATAACTTGTCGATTAGTTGCAAATGCCTCATTATCTACCGGTTCTAGAGACACTAAATTGTCAGTTGTGCTTCTATTTTTCCTAAAGCCACTTTGCTGATTAACTATTAGATTTTTTGATTCCAAAAATAATTTGTAACCCTCTATTTAAATTTTTTTCTACTAATTTACATGAGCAAAATGTTAAGGATATTGGTCTATAATATTCCGTGTTTGACTTCAAGGATTGAAGGTCTATAAGATTCTATGGTACTCCAGGATTTAGGAAATTGTTTATTGAGTTTCCCTCAATGACAAGACAGTTAATTTTGTTGCTGTATGAAATGCCTTTAATCCTACGGATTTTATTCCAGATCTCTGATGCAGGAGTACTTTCGGTTATTGTGGAAACATAATTCTGCCATGATTCACGTTTACTTTTCTTAATTAGGTACCTTGCGTACCTAATTGCGTACCTTTCACCAATAAAATAATGTCAAACATAGACGACAAATCGGTATTAATCATTCAAGGAATAAATGTAGAAGCAAAAATATCAGGTAAACAAAGAAAACCGCACTACAAAAGCAAAGAGATGAGTGAAAATGTGATGGGGTAGGGGAGAGTGAGGCATCGTGAATATATTTTTTTCTATGGTGAGTAATTTTTTTTCATGAGGTTAATTACTCGAATAAAGTTGTCAAACAATAGGAAATTCACTGTAAAAATTAGATACTTATTATCTTTGACAACTACAAGAAGTACTAAATGGGGCAAGGTGGGGGCACTTAATACAATATAAATAAAGTAAAATTTACCGGAGATTATCATAATAATTTTAAATTCTGATTGTATTTGTATTTTAAACTATGTATTTGTATTGAGAACAAAATAAATTGTTACATTATTTTAAACAAAACTTAAGTTTCACACCTAGTATAAAGGTGTGTGGCTTCATTGTCTTCGTGTTCTTCTCCAGCACAGGAGCAGTGTGCTCAACGACAGCATTTTCGGCACATTATCCATCCTTCATCGGACTACGACACAAAAATAACCACAATAGATACACTGAGCATATTTCTTCTTAGATTTTTCTTCTCTTCTTCTTTCTTCCTTACGAGTTTTTTGTGACCTTCCCTTTCTTTACCGGGTTTTCTCTGTTTTGTTGTGACTCCAAAGGTCATTCTTGTTGTGATAAAGTAATTACAGCGGTTTTCTCTTCTTTTCGTGACACGTCTTGTTACTCGAGTTTCTTATAGTATAGACATGATGTCGTTTGGAGATGTTACGAACGAAGATAATTGTGTATCGCTGTTAGTCGTCCATGAACAACCAGGCCTTTTATTGTTACTTTTAGAAATTTTTTTTCAGGCGTTTTTTATTCTTGTGTTTGTACTTCTTCCGCATTTATTTTTCAATTTCTGGTAGCATCCCCGACTTTTTCTACATAAATTGTTGCATTGGTTTGAGGCTGAGGGGTCTCTTCTGACTGATGGTTAGAGGACTGTGCAAATACTGACAAATACAACTTATAATGAGTCATTTCAGCTGGAGCATCAGCGTCTGTAAAAATGTGTCGATCCATCGACCGGATTCCAGTAGCTTTAAACGAATTTATGGCTGTTGCCATGCACCTCAGAGGCTTCATGAAACCCACGTCTAAAGGCTGAAGATGATGGGTGAAATAAGAGGGAAAGCATATTAGTACAATATCGTTTTCACGGGCAAAATGCATCACTGCCATGTTCTTTACGTAACACTTTCTGACCTTTTGGCACCTTAGATCATTCATTGAAACGTTTCAGCCACAACAGAAATAAATCCCTTTAAATCCACTCCAATTTATGGCATTCATTTTAAGATCCAGTTGGTGCTCCGTCTATAAATTAAGCTTTCATACGATTACGTAGAAAAATGAACATCGGGGACATGTAGTTTCCCACAAAATTAAAAATATAACCATCGATATAATTTTCCATCGCTCTGCGGAAGTGAAAACTAATGGCGTTGTTTATTTAAAACTAATATCTTAGAGTAGCTTTTTGCAACCATCGACACCCCCGTTTCGTTGACAATATAAATATGCTGAGGTTGAATTTTATATTTCAAGGTCAATAGCTGATTCAAACAGATTAAAAAACTTCTCAACAACAACTTTATCGAATCCCTCCGTTTGTGCAGATAATGCGGCTTCAGGTTTATTAAGCCTTATATCTTTATGTCTTTTTAAAAAGCCTTGCAGCCAATCAACACCAGCCATGCCATTTCATGTCATCGATTTCTCACTCCAGGAATGTTGTTTGGTTTTTGATTTGTAGGTTCTAACCATGGTGCCTATAAAAAATTGCAAGAAAATATAGGTAGATAACCTACGTAGTCTAAGTACAAGATAATAGGGCAAAGTAGAGTATCAAGTAAACTGAATCAAACTTTGCCCCATTGTCATAAAAAATATAATAGTACGTTATGCTAAAGTATCTTAAAACATATTTGTCTGCTTTATAGGGTATTAATGAACACTTAGCCAGCACTTTCGATAAAGAAAAGTCCAGTGTCGTAGTTTAATAATATTAAAGCACGTATTTCTTGTATGTCTTTAACGAAATTAATCTAGAGTTGTTAGGTAATTGAAAATGTTGTATTTTATTAAACTAGTTCTATGGTATTTTTTATGGTAAACTAGCTGACCTGGCGAACTTTGTTCCGCCTTAATGGCAATAAATAAGCAGATTGTGTTTTTTTTTGGAAAAAATACAAAAAAAATTAAATAACTACATTAATCATTCATTATTATTTCTGTATTTTAGTACATAGGTCTCTTCACTTAAGTAACTTGTGATACACGACATTTTTTGTTTTATTATCAATCTGTTCTAGATTTAAACTACAAACTTTAAAGGATTGGCCTTGTGATTTGTTGATGGTCATGGCAAATGCAAGACGTATAGGAAATTGAAGTCTTTTAAATTCAAACGGCATATCGGTTGGGATCATCGGGATCCTCGGAATGAGAACTTCCTTACCTTTGAATTTTCCTATCATTATCGTAGAGTAAATTACATTGTTCATCAATTTACTAACCACCAAACGCGTACCGTTACACAGTTTTGGTTGGTTTATGTTTCGAAGCATGATTACTACGGAGCCAACCTTTAGGCCGTCCGCACAAGAAGCTACTAAAAAGAAACTAAACTAGTTGGTAACTAGAATTACTAACTGATTACTGTGACTCGCACACTACGCTACTGAAAATTTATAGAAACGAGTTACTTCTTGCTTGTATGAGTAGCTCTGTTATAGGGTGTTTAATTTTAACCTTTATATTATATTATTGAGTGTTATTATTGCGTTATAAATGTCTAGTGACTCAAGTAATAAAGATATTATTCTTTATTATTATAATAGAAGACGTAAAATGCAGAAAAAAGGAGGTATTGGGTTCATCCCTACATTGCAAACAATTGCTATATAGTGCAAATACTGCACTATATTAAACGACTGTTCTACCAATTTCGCCATTTCGCGTGTAAACTTTAAAAATATCACAACAAACTAGAAACTATTGAAGAACCAACGTGTAATATTGCAAAACACTCAGCAATGGGCAAAGTTTTAGCGGCATCGAAAATCATCATCTGGGACGAATGCACAATGGCGCATAAACGTGCATTAGAAGCACTTAACCGAACATTAAAAGATTTACGCAATATTCCCAACATATCGTGCTGCATGTGAAGAATTGATCTTATTAGAAAACGATACCCATTGGGATACGACAATCGCTGAAGCCAATATCTCTGCATCTCCAAGTCAGATACGCACATTATTCGCTATCATAATTTCGACATGTTTTCCACAAACCCATGTAACCTGTGGCACAAATACGAGGATAGTATGTCAGAAGATATTTTACATCAAAGTCGTGTCAGTTCCAGAAATCACGATATTGAGATGAATGAGGAGATACATAATCGTGCTTTACTCTTGATCGAAGATATGTGTTACCCCATATGCGGTAATTTATTAATCAGGTTAGGAATGTCAGCGCCATATCTTAAAATGAATGACGCATTTAATCAAGAATTGGAACGGGAACGTGAATGTGATCACCAGGAATTAGATTTAGTAGTTCAAAGGAATGTACCCCTGTTGAATTACCAAAAAAAGGAAGTTTATGATACTTTAATGAAGGCAATCGCTGATGAAAATGGTGGTTTATATTTCCTAGATGCCCCTGGTGGAACTGGCAAGACATTCCTTATGTCATTAGTTTTAGCAACTGTTCGGGCGAGATCCAACATAGCGGTTGCAGTTGCTTCTTCTGGAATAGCAGCCACATTGTTAGAAGGATGCCGTATGGCTCCTTCAGCATTCAAATTACCGTTAAATTGAACTGTATACATACGACCAAGAGTATCAGTAAAACGCACATCTGGATACCCAGGAACCGCATCACCTTGCTTCCGTCTTTGAAAATTCTTGGATGAAGCATTCCAAGTATAATAATGTGGCATCTCCGAGTAAAGCAAAGTTCGTACAAACTGATGGCTTTGGCAGATTGCAAAAAAACTGGTCAATATAGTTGCTGGAGGTGTTTCAGCACGTTGCGTAGCAATCGAAGCCGTGAAATATACTCGTTGACCATTCTCCAGATGCACCGCCAAATGTATAACAGTAGGATGACGTTCGTGAATTGGAAATGCGAATATACGCCAAATCGCTTCATTACAGTTCACATAACGACCAACTTGATAGTGTGAAATTTCATCGTTGGTATTTGAGAATTGCAATCCAAAAACCGCCATATCGCTGCCTTTCGTGACATATTTGCAAATATATTTTATAGACTTAACTGAATTGCAGTATTCAACGTTGCAATGTGTCTTGAACGTTTTAGAAATAAGTGGCGAATATGGAACAATCCAACTGTTCACTTTCGTTGTGACAGTTCGACCGTTGTCATCTGGTGATCGGATCGACGCCGATACAGCGGATACCCATCGTTGCCAGTGACAGTCTCCGCCGTTAATTTCCGTGGATATCGTTTAGAGCACTTTCCATCGACCATGCAAGGTGATTGGGGATTGATGGCACCACACGGTCCATGAATCATATTAGTAGTAACAACATCATGTAGGTCTGGATCGACTTCATGATCAGGAATCTCGGCACATATGATATCATCTATTTGGTCAGGCTGAATTCTTTCCACTAACCAAATAAGAATGTGTGCGTGCGGCAGGCCTCGCTTTTGCCATTCGATTGAATACATCCAGCATCAAGTATCTCCAAAGACGCGTTGTTTAACAATAAAGTTCATCAGGGACCGAATGTTTTGCCTGAATATACGTGCTGTGATGTCGTGTCTATTATTTGATGTTTGTCCGGGAAGCAGCAATTGAGTAATTTCTATCCATTTTGGATGACAGGTAAAAGTAATAAAGAGATCTGGCCGGCCGTAATGACGAATATATGTCATTGCATCTTGTGCATATGCATGCATATGACGTGGGCTACCAATGTACGTCGCCGGCAGAATAGTTAATCGACCAATATTAGCTGCATTTCCTTCAGTACTAACTGCATCACGTAAATGGATGTACTCCTCAGAACGCAGTTTGGCTTGGTTCAACCTAATAAATGTTAAACGTTCCGTTTCTATTTTTACATACATGTCAACGCAATACTGCTGAAACAATCGACGAAACCGCAGCAAATAGTTGTCAGCATTTTGACGAATCATCAAACGATATTCATAATAATTCATTGAGCTAACTTTCTTTGTAGTTTCTTCACCTGAAATTAAAAATTTGATAATTAACCATTTCAAAGACAAATAATACAGACATTAACCATTATTAAGATACTGATACTTTACCATTCAATGGATTTATCATTTTAATATTAAAATAATATCCATCTTCTCCTTGCCAAAATATCAGTGGGTATTGCAATGCGTCATATGATCGATGAGTTTCAGATATTTGTTGCAGTTGCCCAGTATCGCGACGTGTAAGCACAATATCGCGTTTTTCCAATTGTTCACCAACAATCAGGATGGCAACTTCGTCGACTGTTGGAGCATTAAATGTGCGTTCGTGTGTTCCAGATGGTCGTTTATCTGCTTTGATGACAACTTTATAGTCATCATTTGGCATGCGCTCTAAAGCACTCTTAAACAACCTGACCAACGCATAATGTTCATGAAGCAGACACTGCAAGTCTTGAATAATTGCTCGCTTTATTCCTGCATTGATCCCTAGGCGTCGATCAAGTTGTTCTTCCATGTTGCCCATGAAATATATTTGTAAAAATTTATTCTGTGTATCTTCGAAAGGTAGTAATGATCCAATTCGATGATGAATCTGTCCTTGTATCTACAAAATAAAAACCAGACAGTATTAACTGGGTTATAAACACTTTTTCTGTGGGAGAGTAGAGTTCAGTATTAGCAAATATAATACATACCAATAGATAAAGTAAGTTATTCTTTAACTACATTCTATGTAAGTACAAAAATAAATACCTTAAATGTCGGATTAAATTCTCCTTCTTCGATAATGTCTGCCCCAAATGACGTCATTTGGAAACAACTATTGTATTTTCGAGTATTTGCAAGAAAGTGGCGTAATTCTTGTGTTTCGCCACAAAGCAATGAATACAATGGCTCATGTGGCGGAGTCAACACTGGCAATTTCACTTTACCATTAAGGCAGCATAATCCAGGCGATTCTCCGGAAAACTTTAATGCACCACAATACTTGCAAACAACGTCCATTTGCCCAATGCAAACGCTAGGATGCAAGCTGTAATCATTGCTGCAATCGTATCGAAACGCTGCTCGATTCAAATCAGCTAAATATCTTGTTCTGCGTCGCAAATTATCTATTTGTTGCCTTCTGTTGGTCGCTCGACGATTCTGCATTGCCAACCGAGCTGTTTCACGGGCTGCTTCACTTTGCTCTCGTGATTGAGAAGCACGAAGTCGAGCCATACTATCGCGGCGCTGTTCACGTGCAATTTCTTGTTCTTCTTCAGTCCTTTCATTTGCAGTATTTTGTATTTTTCTTGCATTACGGCTTTGTCGGGAAAGATTCGATCGTCTTGGTCGCGGCATTATTAATTAAACTTCACTTCACTTCAATTACGGCTTTGTCGGGAAAGATTCGATCGTCTTGGTCGCGGCATTATTAATTAAACTTCACTTCACTTCAATCCACTTGTTAATTATTTATTTAATAGAAATAGTTTTAATATTGATTTCTTACAAATATCAAATTGTCATCCATACGTCATTACATAGCTGTCACTTTACGTCAATTACATAGCTGTCATTTGCGTTTTGTTATTCCAAGTCTGATTCTTTTTTGTTATACCACGTTTTATAGTGACTGACGTTTCATGTCAAGTCACACGGGAACGCTGTCGAACGGGATAAAAAGTATCCTATGCCCATCTCCTGGCTCTAAGCTACCTCCCTACCAATTTTCAGCCAAATCTGTTCTGCCGTTCTTAAGTTATAAGTGGTGTAACTAACACGACTTTCTTATATATATATATATATATAATATATATATATATATATATATATATATATATATATATAATATATATATATATATATATATATATATATATATAGATTGATCCATAATCTAACTTACTGAGGATTAAGGCTTTGTAAATATTTAGTAGCTGTGTTGTGTCTGCGCCCCAATTATGATTTGCTAGTACTTTACGAATATTTACGTTCTGTAAACATGATTTTTTAAGTAATTGGATGTGTTTGTTCCAAGTAAGTTTTGAATCAAAAATCATACCTAGAATTCTAAGTTCCTCAACGTTTTCTAAAACTTGATCATACAGTGTTAATTTTGGTGAAGATTCACCAAAATCCAAAAAATCATCCAAACCGTCAAAACCATCAAACCAAATCATCAAATTGATGATTTCGAGAAAAGCACATTACTTTAGTTTTAACGGTAAAAAATTACAGTCCTGTTGTTTTAAACCATTCTTGTAGGAAATTAATAGAAAATTGA